AGCGCTGAAGATTTCTCAATCGGAGAATGTTCGGACAAGGGTCTTCCGATCGGTTGAGGAGCGCGAAGATTACATTCGTATGATGGTGTGCAAATGCGAGGGACTATATACATTCTACAAGCTGTGGATTGCAGCGAGAATCCTCGACGTCACCAAGGACGAAATGAAGCTCCTGGTCAAGGACCGAGTGCACCCGGTGGGTGATATTATTTTCAGATGCTTTTCACTGGCTTTCAACTGTAAGTATATATCATTCGTGAGGGATGGCCTGAACCTTGGCAGATATGGTTACGCGGTCAATGTGAGCGCCATCATTTCGGCCATCGACCCGAACAAGTGCGACACACCTCTGCTGGATTGGTGCCTTCGGAAAGGGCACTGGCTACCAGAGGATCATAACAAGAAGTGTGTCCGGGCGCGAGAAGCCCAGAAGAACTTGGACGAGGAGTTCCGTCGACGCACTCACAGACTGTCCATTGGGGACAGGTATGCGCAGTGAAGATGCTGATCGCGGCACGATGTGGGTTAGTCCCCATCCGTTGCTTGCATCTCATCAACACCATTGCGATGGAACGACTTTACGTCATGATATGATTTCATGCGTCCAAGATGAATGGATGTGTATATGGTTACATATTCCGACGACTATGACATTCTGGATATTCATGGATGGAGCTATTACCTCATGGATGATTTCCTTTTCATTACGTATATATTGTTCATGGTATCTGGAGTGGCTATGATTTGCATTGGTTGCTCACCGATATTTCTTTGCCGGAGATATGCAGATTGCTTACGAGCAGGCGCCTCTGTTGGACTCTTATGGCCAACCCATTTTCTATGGATGACGGCTGCGCGATGCGCAAATGCGGCAGCTGGGATGTTCACTGGTGGTCAAATGACGTGACAATAGTGTATTGTATACACCTGCATATGGGAGTGCGTTCGATTGGTGGATGAATGTTTCACTTTTCATACAATCGAACCCGGCATGTTTCACAATGAATGAACGGTGTAGCGATAGCAAGTAAAAGAATGCACGACGCGATTTCGTAGCTGAAGCCGTGGCCAGTGGAACGTTTTGTGGTGTTTGGACCGCATGATGAACAATGCGACCCAAATGGGGGATGTTAAAACCCTCTAGGCCCCGTGCCTAAATTGGGAAGCTGTTCTGAGGTCTATGTTGGTGTTGCTTACCAAGTTCCATTGATTGCCATTTGGCTCAAGACACAATTGAGGTTCAAGATCTGATGTGTAGCTGCATTCACACGTGATCGGCATTGAGAGCGGAAAACACTTCGCTTGCGCTGCATTTGTCAGGACCACTGTTGTAACTATCATTCCTTCTCCCTTACAACGTTTACACGGGTTCGGCTATAACGGCATCGTCCGTATACACCTTTCTACGTGGTTGGTATTACAGCTGGAGGGTTCGGTGCATAGCGTCCCACGGGACGTCACCTTGCCGTCTCTTGACACTCTCTGTGTCTCTCTCTGTGTCTCTCTCTGTGTCTCTCTCTGTGTCTCTCTCTGTGTCTCTCTCTGTGTCCCTCTCTGTGTCTCTCTCTGTGTCTTTCTGTGTCTCTCTGTGTCTCTCTGCGTCTCTCTGTGTCTCTCTGTGTCTCTGTGTCTCTGTGTGTCTGTGTCTGTGTTTCTGTGTATTTGTGTGTCTGTGTGTCTGTGTCTGTAGGTGTGTGTGTGTATGTGTGTGTATGTGTGCGTGTGTAGGTGTGCGTGTGCGTGTGCGTGTGCGTGTATGTAGGTGTGCGTGTGCGTGTGCGTGTGCGTGCGTGTGTGCGTGTGTGCGTGCGTGCGTGCGTGGGTGGGTGCGTGGGTGGGTGCGTAGGAGGGTGCGTGGGTGCGGGGGTGCGTGGGTTCGTGGGTGCGTGGGTGTGTGCGTGCGTTCCTGCGCGCGCGTGTGGGTGTGTGTGTGTGCGCCTGTGTGCCTGTGCGTGCCTGTCTGTCTGTGTGTCTCTGTGTCTCTGTGTGTCTCTGTGTATCTCTGTGTGTCTCTGTGTGTCTCTGTGTGTCTCTGTGTGTCTCTGTGTGTCTCTGTGTGTCTCTGTGTGTCTCTGTGTGTCTCTGTGTGTCTCTGTGTGTCTCTGTGTCTCGTCTCTGTGTGTCTCTGTGTGTCTCTGTGTGTCTCTGTGTGTCTCTGTGTGTCTCTGTGTGTCTCTGTGTGTCTCTGTGTGTCTCTGTGTGTCTCTGTGTGTTTCTGTGTGTCTCTGTGTGTCTCTGTGTGTCTCTGTGTGTCTCTGTGTGTCTCCGTGTGTCTCTGTGTGCCTCTGTGTGTCTCTGTGTGTCTCTGTGTGTCTTTGTGTGTCTCTGTGTGTCTCTGTGTGTCTCTGTGTGTCTCTGTGTGTCTCTGTGTGTCTCTGTGTGTCTCTGTCTGTGTGTCTCTGTGTGTCTCTGTGTGTCTCTGTGTGTCTCTGTCTCTGTCTCTGTCTCTGTCTCCGTGACTGTGTCTGTGTCTGTGTCTCTGTCTGTGTCTGTGTCTGTTTCTGTGTCTCTGTCTGTGACTGTGTCTGTGTCTGTGTCTCTGTGTCTCTGTGTCTCTGTGTCTCTGTGTCTCTGTGTCTGTGTGTCTGTGTATCTGTGTGTCTGTGTGTCTGTGTCTGTAGGTGTCTGTGTCTCTGTGTGTGTCTGTGTCTGTGTCCGTGTCTGTGTCTGCGTCTGCGTGTGCGTCTGCGTCTGCGTCTGCGTCTGTGTCTGTGTCTGTGTCTGTGTTTGTGCGGGTGCGTGCGGGTGTGCGGGCACGTGTGCGACGTGCGGGTGTGCGGGCACGTGTGCGACGTGCGCGGGTACGTGCGCACGCGTGGCTCTGCGTGCGCGTGCGCGCGTGCGTGCGTGCGTGCGTGCGTGCGTGGGCGGGTGGGTAGGTGGGTGGGTGGGTGGGTGTGTGTTTGTGTGTGGGTGTGCGTGTGCGTGTGCGTGTGCGTGTGCGTGTGCGTGTGCCTGCGCGTGCGCGTGCGTGTGCGCGCGTGCGCGCGCGCGTGTGTGCCTGTGTGTGTGTGTGGGTGCGTGCGTGCGTTCGTGCGTGC